CCCCCCCCCCCCCCCGCGCATAAAGAGCTACAGAGAAGAGAAGACAGTGGGTGGGGTGACTCGTTATAATCTCATTTTACCAAGGAACTTGGCCTGGAGTGGTTTAGTGACTGGCCTGACATAGGATATGAACCCAGTGTGACTCCAAAGCCAGGCTTCCAGACATTATTTCTAGTAGAATTCTGTGTCGTGCGCTCTTGTGTTGTCTGTGCCTGTCCTTGCTGTCTTTTGTTTGAGTCAGAGGGTCATCACAATCTGTCCAGACTGCTGTGCTGGGGGGTTTCTTATGCTCGGAATTTCTCTTAGGTTCATAGAATAATATAATTATGACCCAGATCACATGCCTGGTATTATTTTTAAGTGCTTTAGAAATATGATCATCCCAGTCTCGAGACCTAGCCCATAAGTTAGGGATACTATTTCTTTTGTTTTGTCAATTTAAAGTAATAAACAGGCACAGAGGGATTAAGTAACCTGGTCCCCCCGATGCAACAGGGTCCAGCTTCTAGCCTCACTGGAGGACACAGGCCATGTAGACTTGCACGGACAGGAGTGTACTGGATGGTACTGGCAGCACTCAGCGTCGCCTGAGACAAGTCCATAGTGAAATTTCTCTTATTATCTCTAAGATAGCTTCTAGTGATTGTTTTGTCTTTTCAAATCAGAATATGTCCTAAGACACCGTTTGACTGTTTAGAGTTCCTTTCTTCTCAACTAATCCTTTTTTTTTTTTTTTTTTTAGTGATGTCATTGACTTGGGAGAATAATTTACTCTTTTGGATATAAAGTCATTAAAAAATTAAGCTGAGGGCTGTAGCTGGTCTTTTGCTACTTTGGGGGTTCTTTTTCCCAAACTTTATCCTCTCTACCTCCCCCGGTTTCAGCCTGAATCACTAGATAGGAGAGAGAGATCTTTGAATCTAATTTCTTTTTGTTTCTGCTTTGAGCAGGACCACTGACAAACCACAACCGACCTACCCTGAACGACCACCAACCCCCGCCTAGTGGAGCGCTAGCATTTACATACCCTCTAAAAAGTTCCCAGAATTCCAAGCATCGCATTTGCAGAAACTACCTCCAGCTAGTTAAACCACGCCTCT